GGAAGTCAAACAGTCTAGTGAATATTTTAAAGAAAGCAGGAGCTTAAATTTATGTAGAAATCGATAGGTTTAATTTATTTTGAAAATATCTGCCAATATTTACTATTCTTAACCACGACAGTTCAAGTGTTTTGTGCCCTGAATCCAGTGGTTCAGGCTTAGCATTCTTTGTCATTTTGTTCCTGTGAGCATGTGTGAAAGTGACAATAGGCTCAAAGATTGGCATGAATTTGCTCTAGAAAATTCATGGGAAGGTTTGATTTATGGCGTCCATTAAACATGCTGGATATATTGACAAGACATTTTTCTCTTTCATTTCGCCCCCAACACTGAGTTCTGATTATTAATAAAAGTTTATTTATTGACTCACTCAAATTTAGTATCTGGTGATTTTTCTTTGTGCACTTGAAAATTTGTAAATGAATATTTCAAGAGGTATTTTGTAAATGAAGCACTTGGTGCTTTTAGCATACTTTTACTTGCTCTGTAGTTTCATTAAGGTGCTTACTGGTAGTGTTGTGAGTTGAGAAAGACCATTTTATTTTATTTTAAGGTGTTTTATCATTCATTCCTCAAGTATTTATTGAAGCATTACTATAAGTCAGTCCCTCTACTAGATACCGAGGGTATAGTTTGTTGACATCTGTCATCGTCTGTTGTTCATCTGTTGACATCAGTGATCAGTGTTAGTAATTTGGGGGCCACAAAATCTAGATTATGAGTTCCTGAAGTTACTTCAACTCTAGTTAAAAACTTCCCATGTGTACTATTCTTCACTTTCCCTGATGTTTGAAAGTTTTAGGGGTTAGAATAATTTAGCTTGGACTTTCAAATAAGCAGAATTTTTCAGCATTTTAGATTACAGTAGATTTTTATGTAACCTAAAGTAGTGAGTATGTTAATTAATACAAAAACAGGATGTTTTTTGTGAAAGTTATATTTCACATCAAGTACCTATGTATGGCCACAGTGGGATATCTCTCTCTGACCAACCAACACGTAAGTTACAAACTTTGTTAACCAGTTGCCGTCAAAGTCGATTCCAACTCATGGCAACCCGATGTGTGTCAGAGTAGAACCTGTGCTCCATAGGGTTTTCAGTGGCTGATTTCTCAGAAATAGACCATCAGGCTTTCTTCTGAGGTACTGCTGGGTGGCCTCCAACTTCTCTAAAGCCAGTTGCTATCGAGTCAGTTTCCAATCATGGCGACCCCATGTGTGTTAGAGTAGAACTGTGCTCCATAGGGTTTTTGATGGCAGACTTTTTAGAAGTAGATCACCAGGCCTTTTCTTCTGAGACACCTTTGGATGGACTCAAACCACCAACCTTTTGGTTAGCAGCAGAGTACATTAACTGTTCGCACCACCCAAGGACTCCCAACCTCTTTAGGGATATATTTATCTTAGAGCTTGAGCTGTAGTCTCAAATTTCACTAATGCTAACAGGAATTGCCCTATCAAGATGGAGATATTTTGTAGATAGTAGTATCCTAGTTTATATTTTAAGAGGTGTTTAGCACCTTTTCCTGGTATACATGTCAGAATATTATATAAATTGTGTGATTTGAGAGCTTTTGACTTCTATTGGATGCTAGGAAGATCTGTTAATATTAATGGCACTTAGCATATGTGTCAAGGAGAGAACAAACTTTGTTTCCCAAAAAATTGAGCCTAATTTAATTTAAAATATAGTAATAGAAAAATATAAAGCTCAGAGAGATACACACACACATACGTACGTTTGTTGTTAGATGCCGTCAAGTCAGTTACGACTCATAGCTACCCTATGTATAACAGAATGAAACACTGCCTAGTCCTGTGCCATCCTCATAATTATTGTTATGCTTGAGCTCATTGTTGCAGTCACTGTGTCAGTCTGTCTTGTTGAGGGTCTTCCTCTTTTTCGCTGATCCTCTGCCAAGCATGATATCCTTTTCCAGGGACTGATGCCTCCTGATAACATGTCCAAAGTATGTGAGATGAAGTCTTGCCATCCTTGCTTCTAAGGAGCATTCTGGCTGTAGTTCTTCCAAGACAGATTTGTTCATTCTTCCGGCAGTCCATGATATATTCAATATTCTTCGCCAGCACCATAATTCAAAGGCATCAGTTCTTCTTCGATCTTCCTTATTTGTTGTCCAGCATTCAACATGCGTATGAGGCGATTGTAAACACCATAGGTTGGGTCAGGCGCACCTTAGTCCTTAAAGAGACATCTTTGCTTTTGAACACTTTAAAGAGGTCTTTTGCAGCAGATTTGCCCAGTGCAGTGTGTCATTTGCTTTCTTTACTGCTGCTTCTATGGGCATTGATTGTGCATCCAAGTAAAATGAAATCCTTGACAACTTCAATCTTTTCTCTGTTTATCATGATGTTGCGTATTGGTCCAGTTGTGAGGATTTTTGTTTCCTTTATGTTGAGGTGTAATCCATAGTGAAGGCTGTAGTCTTTAATCTTCATCAATAAGTGCTTCAAGTCCTCTTCTCTTTCAGCGTGCAGTATGTATATATATAAATATAAAATGTGTGATGAACTCCTTTAAGCAAACTTTGAAAATGGGTTATTTTTAAAGATGTGCCATAAGAGTCTGTAAGGGTTACTAATTCATTTTGAAGTTTTGACATGTTTGAAACAAACAAAAAAATGTAAGGTTATGATCTGATTCTTTTTAATGCACCATACTTTGGCTTTCTTCCTCCCTTTCTTACCCTACTCACATTATCATATTCACATAGGTTTACTTTATTACAGATAAATACAGCTTTAAATACTATAAGATTTAGGAATTTATTAGTATTTAGGAATTTATATAGTAATATAGTGTGGAATTCTTTTCCTCTGGATCTCAGAGCTTTTCATTTACCAGTCTTGAAGTTCTCTTAGAGGTGCTCAGCAATGTAGCTCTAGATGTATCTTGTTGGATCTTTTAAACCCGTGGTCTCCATCCTGTTTTGTCTTCTAATAATCCTGAAATTAAGGAGGTAGGGAGTGCAAAACACAGTTTGTCCCAGATTTTTTCTTTTTTCGTTTTTTTTTAATTGATGTAATTAAATGAAGTTTACATTTCAAATTAGTCTCCCATACAGAATTTTTTTTTTTTTAACATACATTGTTATGAGACCCCAGCCGCTCACCCCATTCTGCGAGAGCACACTCCTCCCCTCCGCCCCGATTCCCCATGAACGTTCAACCATCTCCTTACTCTCTGCCTTCCC